CTGCGTCAGCATCTCATATCGTAATCTTGTCCTTAAGACCTGACCCTCTCACTACCCAATTTTTTGAGCTAATGCAAGGCAAAACAGGGTCTGCTCAGGTCACCAGCAAAGTGTTCTCAGCACTGACAGATGCAACACTTGACACTGAGAGGCATCTTTATATGTCTGGAGTACATACACACGCTATGTGAAGTAGCATACATTACACAAGGGAGGGCCAGTCAGAAAGCCTTGGATGTGGTGGACTTTTCAATTGTAAATTTCTGTAGGATTTCTTTTCACGTTCTGTTTTGCTGCTGTTGATTTTTTCAAAAAGCAGCACATATATCTTTACAAAAATGCTTCCACACTGATAATGAGGCACTTGAACTGCCATCTGTCACGATTACAGGTATTAGAAACATACTGAGTTCTGTGGCAATTATAAAGAAGGGCTAAAAATAATTTCAGACTTGTCTTTTCACTAAAGTACATTCAGGATCCACACCTGCTTCTTGCTTTGACTGTGCTGCACCTATTCCACATTCCTGTTACACTACAAGTAATGTAGCCAGTCACAATTTAGGAAGTTTCTGGCAAACTGTAAGACACGATCATGGAATAAATACTTTGCCAAGACATACACAAATACACACACATGGAGAAATGCCTCTAGAAATGTAGTCTGAACTTCCTGAAAAATCCTAAAAAGAACATCTAGGAAATCTCAGTCTCTGCTCAGCCTTGCAGTTCCTATTTACAGACAACTTAGTCTTCTGTTCCAGAAGTGAGCAAACACTGAAATTTGGTTTAAAGAGCTGCTAGCGTAGACTTAACGAAGTTTCTTCTGAAAGGCTGATTGTGTTTCCGTCTGTCTTTTTGACAGAACCCATTTAAAATGGGCCTTCTTCATTTAATTATCTAGTCTTTATTTTTTGCGAGTTTTATTTCTGAACTGGAATAAATGTTACAGCCAGAATTGTGTCTGTAGACAACAGGCTTATTTTATATAGCTTAAAAATCTTTTCCTTTACAATTGAACAGTGAAGCAAGAGCTCTGTGGTACAGGCTTCACAGCTCTGTATAGGGCACTGAAGCTCCAAGTGTCCTGTCATAGGGACATTTAGGTATGTAGGTGCCTTATACAAATATTACAGACCCAAGGGCTGTCTGATGCCTGATCAATAATTGAAGTTTATCCTCTCTGAACTCTTGTGCCCACGAGGAGCAATATTACCAGGCAGTAATGGCACAGATAGCTCAGGAAAATTCCTGATGTCCAGAGTTTAAACCAGCTCCCAGACCATTCACCCTCCACAAGAGCACTGAGCAGCAGAAGGGTTTCCAACAGGCTACAGAGGAATTACTCGAAGTATGACAGTACAGGAGAAACACATCTTGTGGAAGATAAAGACTTGAGGGCTCTCTGCACTGCAGGAAAACCACAACTGGCTGGCTGCTTTCAGGCCTCTCCACCCCCAGCTCAGGATTTATAACACTTAAGTTCAAACAAACAAAAGCTCTGTAATCAGGGAGGCACAGCCATAAACGTAGAGAATCCTCTGCTGCTAGAAATCATTACAAATCAATATAAAGCCATAGTTCAGCTTAATGTAGGTCCAGCAGAGACATGGGTGTGCTGGTCAACATTGGGGTTTAGCAGATGACTGCCCACTGACAGCTGGCAAAAGCTGTCCTGGTCTTATTTACTCCAGTTGGCAAATTCCCTTAGAAGAAACTTCAGATTCACCAGCACATAACTTCCTTCCCTGCCCAAACTGCTGGGGCTGAGCCAGCAGACGTTGTTCAAGCAACCAGAGGGGAGCTGGCCTAACCATTTGAGGATAGGGAAGGGAAGCGGCCTACCAGATAATGTCTGTGCAAGAGCTTGGAAATCATCGACATGGGCTAATTGCTTACTGCAGAGTAAGGTTTCCACTCTCTGTAGGCTTATTTGATGTAAAACTTAATAATCACATCCAAAACCCTTCCTGCAAGACAAACATTGTTCGTATATAAACTGCTTAGCCAAGCCCTGCTCAGGGTTCCTGGGAAATTTTCTGGGGAATGAGGAAGCAAGGAGAAAGAAAGAGATAACATGATCATCCTCCTCACTGTGCTCGGCTAGAAACAAACATCTGTCTGGCATCTGGGCTCTGCCATCCACCATTTATTCCTATCTTCAACTAAACACAGAACCCAGGCATTTTCATTACCTCTGGCTCAGTCAGTGAGCAAATACGGACAAACAAGAGAGGCTGAACTGGCAGAAAATCCCACATGGAGCTGGAAGGAACCAAGTGAGGGGAAGAAAGAGAAACTCTCACATATAAAAAGCCATAATAGAGCAGCAGCCTGTAGAAACACGCAGTTTCTAACGGAGCACAGGCTCCTTTTCTCACCTAATTGCTTATTTTAATTTCCTCTCTTTCCTGGAGAGACGCTGACAATACTGAGATTTGGCAGGACATAACATCAACCCTGGAAAACTCCTTTAGAAATAACTAAGTCTTTCCCAAACCACTACTTGTCTTTGCCTTTTCCCGCTCACACACAACCCAAATTGCTGCCTGCATCGCAGCATTCACACTTAGCACATGGCTCTGCCCCTCCTTCTCCCAGAAACTTTGTGGGGCTCAGCGGGGCAAAGCTGCTCCTCCTCGCGGGCAGCAATCACAGCGTGGCTCAGGACACCAGATCTCCATCCACCTCCAGGACGGGCTCACTCAGGTGCACTATACACACAACCCCCACAGCGGTGACACACAGTACCTCGCTGTTTGCTCACACCTGTATTTTGCATCACAAAACCTTTGGTGAAGAAGACCCCCATGTTGCAGTTGGAAGACTTGGTCCAAAACCACATTCCCCTGAAATAGCATTTCAATGTTCAAACAGCAGCCTGACAAAGCATCCTGAGAAAAACATATTATATCCTCTTCTGATTTCTTGACAAGGGCTGGTAAATATATCATTTGCACCTTTTCCATCTCCTAATTTACTCCTTTTATTGGCAATAGTGACAAAATGTTCTAATTAGATAGCACTAAAAAGGTAAAATGGCATGTGATTGACAGCTGAGAAGTCACTACCTGCTCTCTGAAAAACAGATTGGCTATTTTCCTCATAGGAGCAGATTTATCAATAGACAAAAGATGCAAAACCCCAAAAGGTAATGTATAATTACACATCAGGACTATACACGTTATTTTGACATATCTAAAAGGATCTGTGGGTGATAAAAGCTTTTTTGGAGGGGTGAATGTGTGATATTACTCAGAGGAAGAACAGCATAAAAAATAAAATTAGGAAAACTGTCATATGCATAAACTGGCGTTTGGTGCGTTTGTGTGGTTTTGGTTTGCTGGGGAGATGGTGTTGGTTGCTCGATTGTTGCTTTGGGGGTTGGTTTTTTATCCCCCTTTTTTTTGCCCCTCCTTTTTCATTAAACCAGGACAAGTTAAACAAAAGAGTCGAGTAACTCAAGCAGAGTTTTGACACAACAACAGAATAATTCCACTGGTGTCTTACCTTTTTAAAAACACTTTCATTTAACCACATGCAATGAATATTCCAAATACATTTTTCAGTAACAGAAACAAATTAAGCCTGCCAAGTAGCACTTAACTTGCAATATTTTACAGAAGACAGCAGATAGGAGTAGGCCATTCATTTCAACAGACAAATCTTTCCTCTACTTGTTTATTTCTACTTTTTATCAGTTTGGGGGCTTAAAATCTAAAGCTATTTTAAGCTGCAATATAGAAGTATATCTTGTAGAAATATATTTGTCCATCTGATAATCATCTCAAAGTTTAACAAAAGTGGTCATTTGTCCTCTGTTATTAAAATGTTTAAATTTGTTTCACTTGAATGACCTCATTTGCAAATGAGAGCACTTGTATTTTGAGAGCTAATAGAGAAAACTTGTGACATCTGGTATTTTGTGTAAAAAAACCTCTTAAGCTTACCTACAATTATTCATTTCCAATGAAATTTACGGTCTGTATAAAACAGAGGAGTTGGCAGTCAAAAATTAACATTTGCCTGCTTATCTGGTATCAGTATTCAGACTTCTTAGGAAGTAATGTTTTTCCTTCAGCTGAAAGTAGGCCTGCACAACATTCCTCTTGGAAGAGCACCAAGTGCTCGAAATGCATCTCAGATCTTCCAGAAAAGCACACAAAAAGTTCTTTATAATGCTTGAAATCTTCATTAAAAACGGTCTAGATATTAGTCGTTTTTCCATTGAGCCAACACAGCTATTAACATGATTTCAAGTTGCTGATTTTTATTTTTTTTAACAACTTCACATACAGAGCTGGAATTTTCTAGACCTGAACCAACTGTCAAACCATACATCAAAAACATCATTGTGAAGTGTATTTTGATTTGTGACATTTCAAAATTGTGCAGACACATCAGGTTTTCCATCAGACACATAAGGGCAGTGGGACAAACAATAAAATACCCTCCCAATATCCTACCTTTTCAGCATCGCACATCCTGGTGTGATGCTGCACTGACAGGTTTCACTGTCATCATTATATACTACCAGAAAAACACATGCACACAGAGAAATAATTGCAAAATTTCTAGCTTTGGGTTGTTTGGGGTTTTTTTGTGTGGTTTGTTTTTTTTTTTAATCTGGATGTATATGTGGATGCTCACAGTCCTCCTAGAAAGCTCAACAGGGTAAGCATAGGGTGAGCTTGGGAATACAGCAACTGGACAGGGAGAGTAAAGAAAAGTTTGTGGGAATGTGCCTTTTTAAGGGGGTGTTAAGAAACTAAAAGAAGACAGAGAAACAGCAGAGTAATAAGGGAAACCCTGCAGGTAAACAGCATGAATACAAGGAAGGAGAGGACTTGTGTAAAGGGAGTTTGCAACAAAGTCAGCAGAAGAAAACACACTGTAAAACTAATTTAAAGTATTTCTGAGTGTACCAGTAACAAAAATCAAGTAAACAAAGTGGTTTTGGAGCTATTTCTTGTTTCCATCCTCTGAAGAAGTCAACTCACCCGAGTATGCCCAGTAAGGATCCCCCGAAGCCTTTCGCCTTCGTATCTGCACAGAACTACCATGTCTGTTTTCATGCAGAGTGCCAACATAACCTTCGGTCAGAGCTGGGAAGAGAAGAAGCAGGAATCATTAGGAAAGGAATATTTACTCCCTGGAGTTTACACTGTGAAGGTTTAAATCTTTGTTAGCAGAGACTACAAAAGCGGCATTGCTTAAAAAAAGTGAACAGGCACCCACGAAAACCCACCATCCAAAGGCGATTCCCAGAAGCCAGGACTCACTGATGCCACTATTCTCATCTGGCACATGCCAGCATAAACTGTAGTAATTTCCACAGGAAAACTCTCCAATATATGCAAGCAAACAAGTATGAGCCATGACACATAACCAAACTTCCTCTGCCTACACCCAGAAGACAGCTTACTCCACTAGTGACTACTAAACTACTACTTGTAATTCCACACAAAAATTATCAAGATCTTTAAAAGAACACAGATGCAAGTGTGTGAAAAACACCGGTACCTTGGTTACCATTACCTTGGTTATCATAACTGCATCAGAGCCAAAAACTTCTGTGCTATAATAAATGCACACAAACAGAAAAACCCTTAGATCTGCAGATGTGGAATGTGAAGGACAAGTATGCACCACCTGGCTTGCTGGAAATTTAAGGCTAACCGATCCCAAACCACTTATCTGATTCAAGTAAGAAACTAGCTGAATAATTCAAATTAAATCCTTAGAAAACCATGTAAAGAAGCACTGCTACCCATATGCAGCCACCAAGCACTGCATTCCCTTCTGTCCCCAGGCCAATTACAGCTGGGCTGAAACACAGCTTGGAACAGAGCTTCACTGAGCACCAAGCACCAGTAACTCACCATTTGGTTTTCCTTCCCTTTGGAAATGCTTCTGGGTGACATCCCTTTGGTACCGCACTAGCGGAGAGCAGGCTGTGTCCAAGGGCTATGCTGTACAGACAACTTTGCCTCTGCAACACGGATTTGTGCACATTTTAGAATCCTGAAGCAGTAGGAAAAGCCATGCAAGCTCAGGAAAGGCACTGCAGGTTTGCCCCTGTCAAAATTTCTCTTGTGTGAGCAAAGGTACTAACTGCGCAATTTATGATGAGTCTTCGACTTTAATGAATTGTCCAGATTTCTTGGCAACATCCTAAATGTTAATTCACTCCAGGCTGGAACACATCATGCTACCAGGATCTGTAGGCAACACTACATCACACACCTGACTCTCTCCTCAGACTTCCTCTAATACAGTTCCCTGCCTGGGAGGCAATTGGCTCTCATCAAAACAGGAAAGAACAGGGAAGGGATGCGGAGACCCAAACTCTCAAAGCAAGAAACAACCCAAAATGACAACAAAACAAAGCAAAAAAATACCAAAACCAAACACCCAGTCAAAGACCAGAGACCTTGAAAACCCCAAGGAAGAGAACATAGAGAAACCCCAGGTGGATGGCTGGAAAGGCTATCAGAAAAAACTGGCCCAATTATTCACTTCAAATTCACATCTTCTGGGAAATAAACCTAAAGTTCCTCCTGATTACAAAATTAAAGAGAGCAGCAGCCTTCTTTGGAGCATTCTCTACACTGAGAAGGGGTTGGGTTTTTGTTGCCCAGAAAAATTGTGATCCCTGCAGGCAGAAAGAAAATTTCGCCCTGCTACTTCTGCAGGTACCTGCTCAGTGAGCCCTTGTCTGTGCCTTACCATTCAAAGAAAGAAAATATGTCTAAATAATCTATATTTTTTGAAGGTAAAAAGGCTTCGAGTCAATGCAAAACATCTGAAGTTGTAAACCCCTTTGTACTCCTAGCCTGAACTGTCAAAAAGCCACGTGGCAACCATGGTATGGCTATGAATCATACCATTGATTTTCAGTATCCTCTGTGCAGAAAATTAAATTATGCAAATCCAAGCTTTTATGAATCCCTAACTTTAATGTGAAATTGAACATTTGCTTCAGTCAGCATCTTGTTTATGCAATTAAAAACCTGACATTCTTGTGAAAATACACAGTTTTCGTTTTCCACATGGGCACTTAATAGATGTGTATATTTATCTACACTTACAAATGGTGAAAAGCCATGCTGCACACAACTTCATTTCCACCAAAAAGGATGTTACAAACCAAGAGGGGAGCTCAGGTATTTGTCAAGAGAACCGTGGGAAGGAATGTGCTGGTTATACAGCTCAATATCTTCTGCAGGACTGAAAAAAGAAACAAATTGGAACATCCTGTTCTAAATAAAATCCTGCATCGCTGTTAGGCAGTCCAACATTAATGTCACTATGCCTTTACAAACGTGCAATAACTCAGCAGTCATTAGCAATTTAGAGAAGATGAATGTTTACTCGATAGCTGCAGAAACTCTGGGAAAAGGATGAGGGGTCGAGATCTCCAGCCCCACTGTGAACTGGAAAGGTAATGGTCTGTCTCTATCAAAAATCGTGACACCACCTACTTCCCTAAGTTCAGGTCCCCAACCTGGTCACAGCACGGCCATGCCTTGCTGCATGGGGCCTCACAAACACGCCAAGAAAACCCCGTGGGAACAAACAGCTATTGCTGGTAATATCTTACGCTGGTAAAGTCATCAGGAAAGCACAGACCCGATTTAATGGTGCTTTTGTTCTGTGGTGTCAACTGGGGTCGATGGGCTCTCTCATACTGAAGAGGTACAAGGCACAAAACAAAGCATAATGTGGCTTTTCAGATAAAGGTTTGGAAGACCCAAAACAATAAAATTAAGTTATTTGAAAAAAAGAAAGTGTTTCACACATCAGGCAGAAGCGTTACTTTTTTTGCAGATTTTTGGGGTGGCTGAGGATGTACTGACCAAAACAACTTGACACCACCAATGAAAACTGAAAAGCAAATGTCAATTTCTTGACATTGCTTCATCTGCTTTTGCTGAAGGTATCTACATCTAAAATATTCTGTTGAGCTCCAGCCACTAGAGCACATTTATTCACTTTAGCGAAATGCTCCAATTCCATGGTTTCAGAAACTACACAAGCAAATAAGTGACAACCTCAACTAACATCTTGCAGGGATTCTAACATCAGAACAAGTCTTGGACAGAGTTTTTAAGACAGTTAAGCCATATTAGCACCAATTGCTACAGGTTTCCACAAGTCTCTTTCAGCTGGGAGACTGTTAACAGCTCAAGAGCAGCCAAGTGGTTTCCTGCCCCACTCCTGCAGAATTGGATGCTGGAGAAAAGCCAGCGATTACATGGGCTGGTCCAGCACCGAGCAAACACGAGGAGGGCTCCTCTCTTCTGGGAACCCTGGAAGAGTTGTGGAAGTGGAAATCAGGACAATAGGAGGGACAGGAACCTGCTCCAGGAAGGTGCAAAATGGAGCAGCCAAATTCGAGGGGTGGGGTGGAAATAGGCACATGCACAGAGCAAGAGAAGGGACAGCAGAAGCCCTTGCCCTGAAGGGTTTCCTTCGATATATCATGCCAGTGCTGATGGCAGAGGAGTAATGAATACCATAATCTATGGTCCGAGACTCGTAGAGGCACGATTAAAAGAGAAGGGGACCGATCTTACACTCAGATACACAAGCGTGAAATTAAATCCTTAGCAAGTCCTGTGGCTGCGGGTGCAGTTTTGGTGTCTATGGAGCATGACACCTGCAGTCAGTGGAGTTGTGCTGCGCCTATCAGAGCTACTTCTGCAAGGAACAGAGGATCCTTCAAAGCTAACGTGGAGAAATCTCTTACACACAATTTCATATAATTTTAATCGGTACTGAACGCTACATGATTTTAGATGATGTGCTAAATGAATCAACCCGTGCCGCCTATCTGCAGACAGCAAAAGCAATGCAGCGCTGGGATGTGCCTTAGCATTCTGATCAGCTTTCCATTCACTCTGCCTCAATGTATTAACTTCCCAATAAAAATTATTTGATAAGTGCCCTCAAAGGTACGATAAGGTAATTCCTGCCTGAATACCTTACTGGTATTCATAGCTCACATGAAAACACAAAATTTTATCCCCAATCTACCTTAAATATAAGGCTATTATACTATTCAGAGAGATTATACCCTCGGCATCAGTGTTCAAAACGTATCAAGCCATCAGCTATGTATGAAAAATCCTTTAAGGTCGATGCTTTATGTCTGAATGGTGAAATCATTAGTTATGATGGTAGATTATCTAGATTGTGTGCCAAACTCAGATTCCTTTAAGCCTTTTCTGAAGATGAGGGCTGCACACAAATCTGTTTTCAGCTCTTCTGATTAAAAAGGTATAAATTTAAAGGAACACACATTGCCCGGCTCATAATCATTCTGTGACTTGTCACTGTGGACTACACCTGTGGCTGAATCAGTTTTAGTCCTAATCCCTGATGTGGACACATTTCTTAACTGATGCAGCTCAACCTGGTGCTACTGCTGGAAAATAAGACAGCCTTTGGAGACGGGACTTGACTCCTGGACTCTGAGCAGTGTCACACGAGGAGAACTCTTAAAGCAGAGGGGTTAAAATTAAAATCCTGTCAGTGTGCAGCAAAAAAAGCACTAAATCATAAGGAATGCTTGCAATTAGTTTTGTATCAAATTGATGTCTGTAGAATGGAAACTTTTCAAAACCAAGAAAACCACTATTTTATTGAAGACTGCAGAAGAACAGAGTTTAAAAGGGGGAAGAGGCACAGAAATATTACCTGAAGGGCTTTTGTATCATCTCTTAAAGGGAGTTTAAGAGATCAGTGAGCCAAGACACTTTGCCATCTGCAAGCCTAAAGCTTCCAGCAAGCCTCACAGACAAAAAGCACCATTGTGATCTAGGTGCATTTACTGTCTTTTTAATTGGACTGTGCTAAAGAGAAGCAGGTGAGCTGGAGACACTGCAATGCCATGCACTGTAAACACATGCTCTGCTGGAAAGATTTTAGGCTTCCAGGCAATTTCCTAAAATAAATGTCGTCAAGTGGACCAGAAGGGAAAGGGGCAGGGGGGAACCTGATAGAAAATATATTTATAATATTAAACGATCAAAATATTTTTGTATAATTAAAATAAATAATGGTTAATCCATCTCCCTAGGCTCTTTCACAGACAACTTCCTAAA